AAAAATGAAATTAAAAAAAAAAAAAAAAAAAAAAGCATTAAAGATTTCAGCCTTCCTTCTATAACTAGATTGCCGTCTGCATTTTGTAAGGGACCTATGGTTTCATTGGTTTTCCTCTTATTTTTTGACATCCTTGTAGAATCTCTTTTTATTGCCTTTTTATGTCCCTTGCCAATCGCATTTCAAAATGTGCCTTGGCCTTCCTAACTTTCTCCTTGCATGCCCATGTGATATTTGTATTTGCTTCCCTACCACTATGACCAAGTTTCTGATTTTTGAGTTTTGACTCAAAGAAGAGAGTGGTGTTTAGTTAGGTTCGTCTCCTGTGGCACTTCCCATTTTTCTGTTGTATCAGGATCATTTGTTTCTGTGTCGTTAATAACTCCTAAAAAGCTAGCTCTCCTTGACTCGTTTTCCACTCAGACTATCCTCCCAGGGGATCCTACCCACCAGATCCACCAGTCTGCTTTTTATGAAGTCCAGTGTCTTAGTTCTGCTGCCCTCCTTCCTTCCTCTCCTGAGGATCTCAGATTCTATCATTTCATGATCACTGTCCCAAGTTACCTTCCACCTTCAGCCTAAACCTCCATGTTTGTGAACAGCAAGTCGAGGAGCTTCTCCATTTCTTGTTGACCTCTCTACTATCTGTACCAAAAAGTTCTTCCTAACACACTTTAAGAACTTGCTGGACTGCTTGTGTGCTGCAGTATTTGCCTCCCAGATGCCCTGATAATTAAAGTCCCCCATGAGAACCAGATCCTGTGATGTGAAAATTTCCTTCACTTTTTTTAAAGAAGGGCTGGTGGCCTAACAGATGCTACCATGACGTCCCCTATTGCTGCTCTTCCCTCTGACCTTTACCTAGAGGCTTTCCGCAGGCTCTCCTTCCACTTTGTACTGCACTTAAAAACATGTGTACACCTCCTTTTTCCTCCTCTTGTCCTACCATAAATTATACGCATCTATGACAGTCTTCCAGTACCTTTGTGAGGGATCACGTACATCAGTCTTGCTGTACACCCATATACCTATCATTTGAAATGCATAGATTTTTAATTACCTTATTTTTTCTGCAACATTGGCAATGTCCAGAAGCAATCTTGATTTGGGGGGGCTGGTGATTTGGTGGTTAAATGAGTGTAATTCCCCTTTTTAGTATCAACTAGTGTGGGAGTAGGATTTGGGTGTTTATATGCCAGTGAACCCACTATATGGTGAACTGTGCTTCGAACCAGTGTCTCCTGTTAATAGCATGAGAACATACATGTGTAACAAGGGTGATCGCATATAATAAGAATGAAATGTACTCTCAAACATTACTAACAGGCTTTTTTATTAATTATTTATCCTGCAGGAATGTCTAGAGGCCAACTAGGTTGGAATACACTCTGACAATCTCTGCTCCAAAGAGAAGCCAGGTTGAAGTGAACCTGGGTACAATATTACAATATGCTCTGACAATACAAACGCAGCTTTTTCTTATCTGTCTCCAGGCTGTACCGTCAATGTATTATGCACTTGAGCCTAAGAGCCTTCCAGGTGACAGTGCATTCTGAAAGTACTAAAAAGATCTAATACTTTATGGTTATACATACATAGGATACAGATAGTAAACACCATCAGAGGTATAACTCATCTACATGTTCAACACATTTAATACTGTTTAAATATAAACACTGCATGCAAAGATCTGCAGTGAAAGAGAAAATTAAAACAGGATGCTAAAATATACCAATGGTCTATATCTACTTATAGAAATATAGCCAGAGGCTTAGAAAGTAGAAACTAAAGTGCTGTGTATAAAAGGCCTGGTCACATTTTAAAATATTTTTACATGTATTTGCATACAAATACCACTGCATGGCTTGTGCAGTCATTATTAACCCACCCACTTTCCAGATGGGCTTTCTACTAAGATGCAAATCTTTAGGGAGGGGAAAGGATAAGAAGGGAAAGGGAAATGATTAAACCAGCTGAATTGTTTTGGCCATTAATTTGCTTGCCAGACAGTTGGGTTGTGACAACATACATGTATGTTTTCAAATCCAATCTGCCTTGGAGGGAGTGGGAGAAAGGGCAATGAATGGGAGACTTGTGTTGATGTGACTGGCCCTAATTCAGCTGAATACCTAAAGTGTGTGCTGAAGTCCCAGCCCAGCCCTGTAGACTGTTGAAGTCAATGGAGACTGAAACATGCTTTATTGACTAGGGAGGATATAAGTAAGTCATTAAATTCATTGCTAAGCTGGGGGGTCTTAAGAGGGTAAGAGGCACTGCAGTACATAACTAGCTATAGGCACCTAGCTCTATGTTAGTGGAGTGTAACTCAATGGAAAGAAAAAGATGAATAGAGTTAGCTATGATGCCAATCCCATATGGAATTCTAATGGCATTTCAGCATATCCTAATTTGCCAAGAAGGCTTAGATGGTCACACCTCACAGAGGTGAATGGGATGTGTGGGGGATAGTAAGTTTTTATACCCAACCTTTGGCTGAGTGCTGCTGTATGCCCAGGGAGGGTTTTCTGCAAGGCAGGCTAGCAGGGCAGCAGCTGCAGTTGATGCTGTGCTGGCCATCGCCTCACAGCTGGCAAGTGCAGGAACTTAGATTTTTTAAAAGCAAAATTGTGGGATGTGCAGTAAGGCCCTCAGCTCTCAAAAGTTTTACCACTTTGGGCTGTGACCTACTTTCCATAATACCTAGGCACTTCTTCAAAGTGAAGGCTTTGGCTGTTTCACAAAGAAAAGAATATTCTGTGTTTGAAAGCTTGTCTAAATCTATCCCAGTCATGCAGTGGTTTCAATAAGACATCATGCATGAGAATCCTAGTCTTAGATGAGCTGTTTCTGTAGACCATCCTGATGGCAGCCTTGGGTCCTCTCCAGACTCTTCCTCACACCCTAATGTAATGGATGGAGGAGCTGCTAAGTAAAAACGCTAGCAGATGCCTACACGGCATGCTCTGAAATGATTCTCCAGTTGCTTTATATTTTGCTTGTTTATTTTCCCCCCAAAGATTAACGAAGTGCTTCATCCTCCGTAGGGACAAGCCATGGGTCAAAGTGCTTTGCAGACGTTGGCTGATTCATTAGCTATGATTCCCTAGCACTGCCATGAGGTCTTTAATGTGCCCACCTTCTAGATGGGCTGACAGTGGCATGAAGGCTTGTGCCCTAGACTTCAGAGGGAGCCAGTGTCTGGTTTAGGAATCCTCCATCTGTTCAGAGCACTGGGTTCTGTCTTCTCCTATCTGTACACAGAGCAGGCCAGTTGCCATCAGGACTCCTGTGGCAGATTGACAAAAAGGGCTTTATGTATATTACATTTTCCTACAGAAAAATGCTGCTGCACATACTTGTGTGACAGCGTGGGACCAAAGGACTTCTGCCTCCCACACTTGAGTAGCAACTCCTACTATCTTAGCACACAGTCCTGTGCAGAAAGAGTGCCACAGGCAGGACTGAAGCCTAGGACACCTTTATAGCTGAAAAAAGTGGTGTACGGGAAGTGGTTGGTGCTGCACTCTGATCCAAGTAGCTCTGGATGCTTTTGACTTCGCTGTTGGTCAAGTTTCCCTTGATGTACAAGATGGCAGCAAGGTGCTTTTTGCTATTGGACACAAAGTAAGAGATATTAGAGAAGAGGCTACATCTCAATAGGATCTTCCCATGGCCCTCATCTGGGTGCTTTAGTCAATGGCTGTGTTTGTGTGTGGGGCGGGATCAGGGAGGCAGTGGCCAACGTGCTATTATCTCAGTTCTATGGATGGGACCTGAGGCACAGGGTGACCAGTGCCTAAGCATCAATAGAAATTAATCATTTAAGTGCCTTTAAGGACCCAAGTCTAAAGATATGTTGCTATCTCTTATGCTGTTGAGAACATACCCACTTGCTTCCACACTGCATGCTGCAAAGTGGAAATGAGGGAGTGAAGCTTCCCTGATGGTGCTTCCCGACTCCCCTCTGTGCTCTGAAGCATACCAGAGATGGAGTGTGAGCATGGCAGTGAGGGGTGTTCCTAGATGGCTTTGCTAGGTTTGGTGCACATGAAGAGAGCATAAGTGAGTGGGTCTGGGAGACTCCTCAGTGATCAGACAGGAAATCTGTGGGGGAGCAGATAACTAAATCTAGTCTCCCAGGCCTTGGCCAAGGAAAATGGTGTGTGCAGACCAAGGAAGCCACTGTTCCTCTAGCACTATAAAGTCTATTAGTATTTCCAAATACTATCTGGTTCCTCTCACCTAATATCCGGGTATGTTTTAGCAAGCATAGCAACTTCGATTTTTGTGGCGCTTGAGTCTTGCAGTCGGATTATTTCTGCCAGTTTGGGCAGTGCAGAGTCCAGCCACGTGGCTGCAGATCCCTATCAGAAAAGGAATAAGACAAAACAGTCAGTAATCCAGGCCTGCTGTGATTACAGAGCCTCCTCTGGGCTCTTGAAGGGGAGGGGAGGCTGCTCCATGAACTTTGCTTAGTAACATTCCAGCTCACTGTTTTGGATGCAATTTGGCCAGTGTATAACGATTAAATGATGATGAAAAATGATGCTCAGAGTTTCTAGAATATATTCTAATTGGGGTTGGGCCCTGGACAGACTGGTGGAAATAGACTGAGTAGGATGTATTTTTAAAACCTTTCAAAAGCCTACTTCTAAAAGCCTTGTCTGTAGTAAAATGTGCAGTTTGATTTGCTCCAGCTGTGGGTTCTTTCTGCTACATCCAGTGAGTTGTGGAAAAGGTTTTGGAGAACTAACAACAGTCCCTTTCTCAACTACCTAATCTACTTGTTGGCTTTGCGTATGTACAATGACTTCATTTGCTTGGCAGTTGCCTGCTGTCTCCCATCCTTAGATGTATGCCTGTTTCTGAGACCTTTCCCCCATCTATCCAGACAAGAGCCCCAAGTAGACCTGCTTTCCAGCTGCTGAAAGACTTGCTGCATTTAGCAACCCCTTGAAAAACTAACCACTGTTTGAAGGCATATGCCAGATGCTCAGGATAGTCTGAAAGGAACAGGTTCAGAAGTTAAGTGCCAGCACTGATGTGGTGAGCAATCACACCTACGTTTTTTGTGCAGAAAGTCTGCAAGAGGGAGGCATCATTTGTAATGCATTTTGCCAAGTTTTGCTGAAGTTCTGGAGTTTTCAGGGTGACTCTCTTCTTCATTAGCCTTACGATGTACTCTCTAACCAGGTGAACGTGAATCTTCTCCATAATGCCCTGTTAGGGAGGGAAACGTTAATCAGCTTATTAGGGTTGTATGTCCAGAAAAGTGTAATGATGCATAAAACATGGGAACAAACCTGCCCTACAGCTGGGCAAGGAGCTTCCACCCATCCCACTAGCACTTGACTGTAATGGTGTAACACCTGCCTCTGTAGCCCCTCTCCTGTTTTATGTCTGAGCCCAATGGGAAATGGTGGATATAGGAGGGTGGGTGAGGTGCACAGTTTCCAGGTTTGGAGCATGAGTGGGAGTGGGTGGGTGAGGCATGCTTGGGAGAGCACAAATATTGGGACCCCCACAAGAAAAATCAGGAAGTGGTAGAGAGAGGCAGTAACCAGGGGCAAATTGACATAGGCCATCAGGGGCATTGTGGGTGAGTAAAGGAAAAGGTTGCTTATAACTTCTTGCATAACATCAGAAGGATGTTACATTGTGCGTGTGGACTGAGGGCAGTGTGGCCCCCGGCCTGTGAAATCTGCCACCACAAATTCCTACTCTTGTTTCTGTCAAGGAAGCCCAGGGACTTCAGTAGCATGGACCTTCTCATTTGCCTCTGCCTCAGACCGGCACCAGAGGCGTGTCCGACATTGTACACAATGGGGCTTTCCTAACGAGCAAACGTGTTGGAATTGGCTCTATTTCCAGAATGGTAATTTCGCACTGAGAAAATGGGACACTTGGAAATTACCTATAAATGGTATGTGAAGGGTGGCAATATCCCCAGGAAACAGGAAGCTGTCTTATTTCCACCTATTTCGCTCTCTGATTACATGAGTTACAGAGTACATTTAGATTACTAAAAATATAATTGCAGGATATTTGGACCTCTTTGTGGAGACTTTCTATTGGCTTTAGGATGTTTGCTGTAGAAACACTAGAAATCTGGATTTGGTCCCACATGTTAACTCAGATGTACCCGAGACTGAAATTTTGCAACAGCTAGGCTTCTGGTAAAATGGAGTTCGCATCTGTGCAGGTCTTCTTGGGCTGAAGGGACGGACAGCCAAAATCCTGTCGTAGAGAATGCCTTATTTTGGAGAGTTGTCATAATATTGATTCCTATCTAGCTCCTCATTCCCGTTCTCAATGCTAAATTAACTGTATAAATGAGCTATGCAACTGCCTTTGGAGAAGAGCAGGCTCAGGTCATGGCTGTATGGGGATAGTCTGAATTAAACTTCAAAGGATTCCCTCCTATGGGAAGAGATGTTTGTAGCTGGGAAAGCTCATTGATCTAAATAGGGTGATGTTGGCACAGGAAAGAGGCATGTCCAGTCACCTGCCAAAGTGAGAAGTACGTGCATCTCTCAAGTGGTTCCTAGCCAAAGAGCTAGGTTCAGGTTTTCTAGACTTGTTCCACTGTTTCCCTGCAACTTACCTTATAGAAAGGGTCTCGAAGAGTGTGGAATTGCAAAAGGGAACTGCTGGTGGTTTTGAGGATCTCCTCCATGATACCTTCGGTGCAAGCCCACTTATTTTGGGTAAACTTTTTAAACAGAGGCTGAAGAAAGAAAAAGTCTGGTCAGCTTCTACAAAGCAAAACTGAAGCGCAAGTATATTCAGAGATTAAAATTTCATACAGCCACGCAAATGTGTGTGATCCTATATGAAGAACTTGAAGATGCCCTGCTAAAGGAGGGAAAGAGTGAATTATGGGTCCCCCTCTTGCCCCTCACCCCTCCACTCCTTAACATTTTATAATGATGAGGACAGGTGGCCTGAAATGCTTTAATAAAAGATCCCTTTTCTGTTTCCATTTTTAATGAGATTTTCATGTCCTGTCTTCTCCAGTGACATCACAAGATGCAAGGGAAGGGAAGCTAGGCAATTATGGGAATAAATTTTTGGTTGTATTTAATCTCAAAACAAAATAGAAAAAATGGCGTTAACTAACATATCAAATAATGAGCACTGAGAAAGGGAGCCTAGGATAAAGGAAAAATACTCTGTCCTTTCATTAAGGTGCGAGTCCACGTAAACATCCTCAAGAGCTCCCAAGAAGCTCTCCTGAAAAAAGGCAAACTTTTCGATTTTTCTATTGCAAAATTTCCCATATAGAGAAATCAACTTCAGGGGTACTAGTCTCTTGGATAAAAACAGCAAGATGATGCACTCAACCATGTATATATTACTGAGGTGATGATACTGATGAGATGGATGAAGCTGTAAGTTTGGGTTGCCACAGATGGTGGAATACAATTCAGGGTTGTCATGTATGTTTTTTTTTCCCCTTTTGTTTTTCTGAATGCAAGACCATGGAATTTCTTTTAAAAAATTGTGTTGAACTTTTATTGATTTTTATTTTTGCCTTAAATCTATTAAAACTCTTTCCCTCTATAAAAACCTGCCACATATGAGATATATTATAAACATGAATTTTCTAGTCATATGTCATACCTTTAATTCCAGAAACAAATCTTGAAGCAGTACATTATAAGCACTGTTCTCAATTTCATTAAGTGTGGTGAGAATACTAGCTTTTGTATCATCTGGTGTGGATACAGTTTTCTCAGCGTGGGTTCTGAAACAAATGTCCACAGGTTAAGAATAATGTATTGCACACTTTTCCCACTAGCATTTCTGTTTTGTATTTTAAAGTTTCAGAAAATAAAATTCAGCACCAGGACATTACATTTTAGGTAGAGATCCAAATGTTATCTAGAATTTTAAGTGGTTTTCATGTCCTAGGGTAGAAGTGATATCAGTGTTATTTGGAAGGGTTGCTGAGTGGCTTGTACTATGAGATCACTTTAATATCAGTCTGTCTGGAAGTTGTCCTATCTGTGGTTATTTGAAGCATGTACAAATAATTGCTGCCTATATAAACAACAAAGCCACAACCTGGCACCCAGCCAGTAATGACCGAGTCCTGTAGAGGCCAAATTGACACAGGAATACATGGGAGCCAGTTAGCGTCAAAATCCATCCTTCCTTGCATGCATGGCAATGGTTCTCTCCGTAAGAGATTTTGAGTGAGCTGGGCTATAGTGAGGTCAGAAGTGTACACAGGGCAGACGCATGACCACTGATGCACATGAAATGGAGGGTAGCAGCAGGTCAGATCTTCTGCTTGCTCCTATACTGGAGAGGGGAGTTGGTGGCTTCATGTTAGGCTGTAGGATTCTGTTCCTTGACCTCTACGACTTTTGAATACATGGTTTTTACTCAGGCTGTGAACTCGCATCTGGATTTTGTTTTCCTTCAAATATGTTATTAAAATACCACAGTACATGACCCCCTGCCAGGGAAACTTCTGTAGCAGAATGCTGATGGAGAGCTGCACTGCCTGGTCAGAGAAAAATACAGTTGTGGAAACTGTCCAAATAGCATGAATTGCCCTATTCCTAGGTTAAATCCACAAAACACTGTGGGATTTCCCCAACCATGTACCTGTTCTACCAATGGCTACATGAACTAGGTGACTTGCCAGTGATCAGTCAGCGTAAGAGCCAGGTGTGGAACCCGGGGGTCCTGGCCCCAAAGCTTTCCTTTAACAAGGAGGCAGAACTTCTGTTCAATGAGAGGAACACTTGAATCTTGGGGGAAACAAGATTATTAGTTGTAACTAGTTTATTAGTTGAAGATTAATGAAGAAATCATTAGTTGAAAGTCTCAGGGTGGGATTTTCTGCTGCTGTATGAATGACTTCTATGGTGCTATGATGATTTATACTAGCTACAAGTCTCTCTTGGGTTACAAATAGGAAAGCATGTAGTAATGTTCAATCAGACATTTTGGATACCCGGTATTGGAAGTTGCTCTGTTCGAATATCATTTTAAATTCATAGAAAAATATGGACTACAGTTAAGGGTACATTTGATATACCCTTAGTTGGTATATTTACTTCTACAGGCTTAAGTCATATTATTCATTAAAAAGCTTAAACAAGGCAGTTGATTCTTACTTACCTAAAACTTGCACAGTTATTCACATTTGCGATTATTGTTTCCTTGAAATATCTGTGCTGTCTGTTTTTCTCTTTAAATTCTTCTAAAGCCTTCTTATAGCTAAAGAGAAGATTAAGAAGAAATAATGATTAGTAACTTAGCTAACTGATACCAATGTTACTCTGCTGCAATGTCTTTCAAACTGGCTTTTGGGTTGGGTACCCCTTTTATAAGTTTTCTTCCTTCTCTACTTATCTTTCTCATTTTCTCTTCTGCTCTCATATTCCTTCTTCCCATGTACCTACAAGGTGACTGTCGTATACCCCCTAGGGTTTCATGTTATCCCAGTTCAAGAACCGCTGATCAAGTGTCCTTCTGACACCTGTCTTACCGCACCTTTTCAAGAAAGTTGACAGCTCCACCAACAGTATGACTGAGGCTTGCTTGCCCAGGTCAGGGGTTATTTCCTCAGCTCGTTTTTGTCCTCCATGGATAGTCTAAGGAACAAGAATTAAACAACTTCAGATGTCTAAGGGTCCAAACAGACAGGTAAACTGCTAAGGCAGTTGGAGCTATTTTCATTATAGTTTGCAGTATCAACCAAGATGAGGGGCCCACTGCACTAGGTTCTGCTCAAGCGCAGGTAAGAGACACCTGTGCAAGATCTTTGGAGCAGGAACTAAGTAGATAAGATTGCCTGGAGTTAGGAAAAGGAGCAGATGCCCCAGAAGGTGAAATGGCTTCTTACAGTCTCAAAGGAGACCTGTGTCCTATTTGTACCTGTCCTGAATCCAGGGTCAAGCATCCATAGACTGAACCCCACATCTCCCCAGCAGTACACAAGGGGACTGTGCTTATTTGGGACACTAAAGCTAATTGTTATCTCTGATTTCCAATCAAGAGGAATAAGACATTAAACAGAAATTTTGTTGTAGGGGAGGCCTGGATACAGCCCTTCTATTTTTTGCCAAGCGCCAGGTGATTTTTGTTTAAAAATCTAACCCTAGCATAAAACCAAAGAATTGCATTTACAGACAACCCCCCCCCCCCGACTAATTTAAGAAGGATGGGAAGTGAGGGGGTGGGGAGAGAGTGGGGGATACTGTTTGCGAAAAGAAGATGGGGGATCAGAGTAATCTGTCTAAATAAAATTTATGAAACTTAATGAGACCCAACAACAAACAACTGTCCCTTTGCCCATGTGTCTGGAAGAGGTGTTTTTTTTCTGCTTTCTCCAATGTAATACTGATACTGAGGGTTTGGTTTTGTTTTGCTTAAGAGTACAGAAGGGTGAGATTTCCCTTCACCACAGTGGAGATGTTTTTTCCAAGGCTGCAGAGCAGGAGGTACTGGATCAGCCCAAAGAATCAGCTACTCTTACTAAAGTCAGAGGATCCTAGTGGATAGGACTTGAGCCTTAGGTTCAGTCTAGGGTCTGATTTCATCTAACTTTGGAAAATCAGTTAGCCTTCCTGTACCTTATGTGACTCTTTGTGAGGCTAAATCTATTTAATTAACAAATGCTCAGTAATTGGCGTAATGAAAGTGGTAAGTAGCTCTATAAATTTTCCATTGCATTAGTTTGTTTTCTGTTTATGTGGCTAGCTGGAGCATTTTTAATGGGTTGTGCAAACTCTGATACAAGCACAGTTTAATTATTTTTAATATTTACGGGCTCATTTAAAAATACAGTGCATTTTTATTACCTGGAGGACGTGGAAGTCTAATTCATTATGAAAATATTTCTCAGGTTTCTCTGGTTCTTTCTCTTCTGTCCATCTTCTGATTTCTAATTCCAAAGTCTTGCCCAACCAGTTCTTGACAGTAGCCTTTAGAAAACCAAAAAAACCCAGCAACATTTACCATAAACTGAACAAACAATTCCTATTGCACTCATTTTCTCTGGGCTAGAATTTACACAGCGGCCACACTATTTGTCTAGACATTGACACCAGACCCCACAGGGAGCTCAAGACCATGTCAAAAGAATCTCTCCCCTACTCAGAGCTCCAACTTTTCAAATATTTTAAAAACAACAATTTCTTTAAAATGGACCTGCCAGACACCTGGTAGGTGTGTCGGTCACTGCCATGGGCAGCATGAGAGCTTCACTTTTTGGGGTTCTGGAGGTGGCAGCATTTCTTTCACTTCATCTCAGATCACCAAATCTGAGGACCAAATCGTGCTCCATGCCAGTTGCATACTGAATTGAGATGTTCGTGTGTAAAGGCCATATGTGACCCTTTGGGTCCAGTCCTGAGTCAGGATCACATTATCTTCTGTTACCAGCTCAAAAGCAGTAGTGTAACTAAGGGAGGGGTGAGCACAACCCCAGCCTTGGGTGCTGACCTGGGGGGGATATGGCAGGGGAACAAAAATTAGCAGCCATTGCCACTGCTTTCCTGGCTGCCATGCCACTGCTGGGTGCAGAGCTGAGCAGTTGCTCCTCTGCTTGAAAGACGGATCAGCCAGAATACCCTGAGGTTCTTTGGCGTTTCTAGTGAGAGCTCCCCTGAGGGAGAGAGATGAAGTACTGCTCCTAATTCCCAGGGGCCACAGGTAACAGAAGCTCCTCATGACCCTTCAGTCCTTACGCTCCCCTCCTTCAAGGCAGCACACGAGTTAACGCTGTGTTGTTTGTCGGCATATTTCCCCCTGCCCAGATGTCAGACCACAGGGAGACATGGACTGCACAGAATGGCTGCATCTGGGCTCTGATGTGTCTTGCTCTTGAGATGCAAGTTGGATAGTTGCAGAGACTGCCGCCCCCCCAACTGCCGTTGTGCTGTTTACTCAGACGTAGCTCATTGCTCCCAGCTGGACGTGATTATAGCTCAGAACTCCAGACCCAGCTCTCTCTACTTGCACCCTTTCAAGAACCGCAGCCCAGCATTTCTGATGCAGCAACGGCACTAAATTCTGTGCACACTGTACAAACAAATCCAGAAAAGTTCCTTCTGTCTTTTATGTCTGTGCAACAGGAAGTTGTTCAGAGCACCAGAGGGTCAAACTTTCAAAGTCAGGCCTACAGAATTGCATGGACATGATTCGTCTCTCACCTGGAGGTGCACACCAGCAGTCCCTTCCTGGGAGCTATACTGGACATGCCCATCTTTGCATGCTTAACTGATCACTGGACCCCCTAAAGATCTTTGGGGGTATGCAGGGTTTTTTTCTCTGAGCATACCATTTTATTTCTAGGATGATCACTGTTTTTTGAACAATACCCTTCCTCCCCCAAAGTCAGTATATGAACTTGTGTGAAGGCCATAGCAGTATTCTGTAGGTCAGTGGGTTTGAGGAAAGAGGAAAGACTATCCATTTACTGCCAGGGAAATTGGGCAAACGTGAGCTTGAAGTATACAGACAACTACAAGGGCAGCAAAATAACATGCAGCTGCTGTGCCATTGAGAAGGCAGCTTCATGAAGGAATGATACAGATATAAGAAAGGTAGGGAGACCTCCAGGAACAGGCTCTCACCATTTCGTTGCACAAGTATTTAGCTTCTAGCTGTTTGATTTGTTTTGCTGGCAAAAGGCTTCCAAGTTTAGCTCCTTCCAAGTCATTCTTCAGAATGGGATTTTTGATGATGTCACTGGAATGACAGAAACACCAAACAATTGCATTTCTCAGGATAAGCTTAATTCAAGACAGCTGCTTACATAACATTTCCGGAAGAAAGCAGTAAAAGCCAAGATAAAACTTCATTGCCCTTAAATCCCAGCATGGTAGGGAAGAAAGGAAGCAACGGCCAGGCTGCACAGCCCAAGTCTCTCCTCCTAGCTTGTTTATGCCACTAAACAACTGGGTGAAGTTGGCATGGCCTGCCATGGGAATTTGAACAGGGCATAAATGTTCTTTTTCCACTGGAGCCAGAGGCTGAGTTGACTGCCGCTACTGGAGGTCTGCTGGGATAGGGGAATTTAAACCCATTCTTGTTCAGCAGCTGGGCAGCCTGTGACGCTGGCATTTAGCCACGACAAGATATCTGGAAAATGCTTAAGAGCTTCAGTAACTAAATGGCTACTTTTAAGGCAGGGGTGGGCAAAATGAGGCCTGCCAAGCCATTCTATCCAGCCCATGGGGCCCCTAAAAATTTAGAAAATTAATATTTATCTGCCCCTCGATGCGATCCTTGATGGCTTGCCAAAACTCAGTAAACGGCCCTCTGCCTGACAGAATTGCTCACCCCTGTTTTAAGGCCTCCTGTTCTGCTATCACTAGGGTAGCCATATCATTTTTAAGGAAATCCAGGACACTGTCCCTGCCCCAGGCAGGAGAAGCAGTGTTCAGTCCAGACCACCACCCGTTTCCAGCCACTGCTCAGGACCAGCCAGGCTGGAAGTACAGGCAGCATAGCACTAATCCAGGACTCATTTCCATTTTCACTAACCAGCCAGGATGGCGTATGAAATCTGGGACCATCACTGGCAAACTGGGATGAATAGTCACCCTAGCTATCGTCGTCCCCTCAAAATGCTTGCTGAAGTAGGCACTGGAGGCGTGATCCGAAGTGGAATTCCCCTATTGTTCTGGCTTAAAACTGCATGACTTTGCTATGAAAGAGGTGACATTCATGTGAGCCTGGGACTGGACTTGGAAACTAGACTCACCCCTCTGACCCACAGCGAATAAATCCAGCAGTTGCCCAACCTCCGTGTTTCCAGACGACGCAGCAATTCTGAAACACTTTCCTATCCTAGCAATAATGCACGGGTTGACTGCATGCGCTGTTACAAAGGTCAGGCCAGATCTTGGTACAGCACAGCTGTCAGAAAGCCTTTGTCACCTTTATGCCCCCTTGATCCCAGGCTGCTGAGTTTTTAACTGGGTCAAGGGGTAACATCCCTGAAGGAGCTGCTCTGATACCGAAGGGATTGTCAGAGCACGGCAGCGCGCCTCCTGCTTCGCTTGGTGTTTTGGCTGGTTGGGGTGGGAGCGGTCAGAGGAAGCCGGGGAAGCCCTTGGTACTGGAACTGGGGGTGCCAGAGTAGATATTAGAAAAGTCACTTAGTGATTTACACGTGAATAACATCCAGCAATGATCAGCCGCCTCGTTTAGCTGACTAGAGAGATCTACTGCACGGGCTACTTCGGATGCTTATGTATGTGTCAGGAACTCAACACAGGTGAAAACCGAATTAAGTACAACTGGTGCACAGTTAGCTAAACTGGGGAAAGCCAAGACTGATGAAATAATGGAAAATGTGACCCCCCCTCCCCACCCCCAGAGGCATTCCTGTCATGCTTCCTTTCTTTGAAAATTATATTCTGCTTTGAGACAAAAAGCCCAGCAATGATTATGACCACAACCCCTCCATATTTCCTCCTCTTTCTTTGCTTCTCCTATTCAATACATGCACATCTATGTGCTATACACATTTTCCTGAGCAGGGACCAGATCAGCCCCCCCACTGGGCCCCCCTCAGGCCCCAGGGGAGGCACACCCAGGCCAAGGGTCAGTGAGGATCTAGTCAGGGAACTTCTGGAGGGACTGGATGTATTTAAATCAGCTGGTCCGGACGATCTCCACCCCAGAGTGCTGAGGGAATTGGCTGAGGTCCTTGCGGGACCCCGGCACGGCTTTACGAGCGCTCGTGGTGCTCTGGTGTGGTGCCAGAGGACTGGAAGAGGGCCAATGTGGTTCCCATCTTCAAAAAAGGGAGGAAGGAGGACCCAGGGAACTATAGGCCAGTTAGTCTTACTTCAATCCTGGGCAAGCTTTTTGAGAAAATTATTCTGGC